TAAACGATGTAATGGTTCCGTATATCTTTTACAAAACCACACCTAGTTTCGTATAGCGCATCCGAAACTATAGGAGCACTTACGGAACTATGAATGGTTTCGTAGAACTAATACGAAACCTTTAAGTGCTCTACGAAACTGTCAACGGTTTTGTACCAAAGATACGAAACCACCGTAAGTTCAGTAAACAATGCGCAGAACCTCTAGAAGGTTTCGTAGTAAAACTTCGAAACCTTCTTCGATTTTTGGAACTTAAAAAGGTTCAGTATGGAGACTACGAAACCTTTTCCATCCCACGGAACTTAAAATAGTTTCGTAAACAAGCGCGAAACCTATAAAGTTTGGTAAAATACCTTTTTTTTTACAGTGTAGTAAATACGTTGGAAATACTCAGCTCAAAATCAATTGCAATGGTTCGTAATTTGATAAACAATTGTAATTCGGTTATTTTTCGGAATATTACTGCAAATAAGTCGTAATATATATGTTCGGATTTACCTCCGAGTAACGCAAAAACGCATGGTGTCGATATTCCGTCATAATATGCATGAATTGAATATACTTGATAAAAAATCGATGGGCATGTGTAAATGTACCGTCACCATACCAATGCTCTTGTTGTGATAAATAAGTTATGTCTTTGTAAGTAGCAAAAATAAGTGAACGAGTACCACCAAGCAACCCATCATATAGTAAAAACCATTCACCTTGCGTTGTTTTGCAATAAGATTCTGGTAACGGTGATGGAAGTTGTTCAATAGTTTGAGGAATCGGTGGTCGGGTCTTACGACGTTGTTTTTGTAAACTATTTTTTAATGTACGAATCGACGGTAAATTAATAACCAAATCATTGGATTTGATGTTAATGTTGTGAAATACCTCTTCAACTATACGGTCTATTGGACCCGATTCTTCAATAGCTTTTCGTTTTAAATTTTGTCGCATTTCTAATACGATCTTGGCAGTTTCATCAGGTAAATGTGTATGTTCATCCCGTACCACGATTGATGAATCCGAATAACTTGTTGCTGTTGCTTTACATTTCACACATACCTAATACTGGGAACCGTTTTCATTTTTACGTTTGAAATAATATCGGTAACCGAGATAACATAACTGTTTTTTTCCATGTGTTGATTCGACAAATTCACCAGACATTTTGTTAAGAACACAGCGAGAACACATTATGTATTTCCATCTTTATATACCTTTTGCAATGATTACTATTCTCACGATTATCCTAGTCTCCATCTAATGAGCACTACTCATACTTGATTAAAAATATAGTTGATCATCAACTTAGTGATGAATATTCATTCGTTTCCAAATTTTTTGAAAATTTGTTCTCGTAATATATGGATTGCTCCAATAACTAGTTATCTGCTCATTTCTCTTCGTCGAGCTAATCAACGGAAAGTAAATCATCACACGAAAAAATCGATAATTGGAAAATCATTTTTATGTAATCAACGGAAAGTAAATCCGTGGAAAGTAAATCGTGTAAACCCATATATATATATATATAACGAAAGATACATTTTTCGACCCGTTTTGGTTTTTTTTTGTTTCTTTGAAAAATTAATTTAAGTGAAAAATAAATAAAAATCCTTACTCAAATAAAATTGTCTTATATTTATTAATTAGACATTCGAATAAATGAGAAAATAATCAACATTTATCGAATATATTTATATGTATAAGAATTTTATCATTAAAATCAATATATAATATATTTGATAAACATCGATTAATTAAAATATATATAAAAATAATTGTTTTACTTGTTAGATTTTACAGATAATAGTACTCTATCACTTTAATAAGAGATTTATAATATTAAATAAAATATGTGTCAAAAACGAAGAGAAAATAAAATGTTGATAAATAAAAAATATTCAATAAATAAAAATAAAATAAAAAAGTAAAATATTTTTTAATAAAACTAAATAAATATTAATGATATATTAATTGAATTAAATAATTGTTCGATTTAATTTAATATAAAATCAATAAAATGATTTATTTCTATTGAATTCATTATATTTATTTGTTTTATTTTTATTCTTATTAATAAATAAAATAATTTGAATAAATAGAGTATGAAAATGTTTGTGAATAATCAAAGAAAAATGAGATAATCATTTATTTTGAATGTCTCATTTATTTTATTTTGTTTGCTTGTCGATATATTTAAACATGTATAAATATATATATGTCGATTTAGACTGGCACTTCGTCGTTGGCTGCAAATATACTACATGCTCATAAATCATCACGTCAACAACAGCACTCAGCAGTGACTGCGACTCATGCATCTCCAGAAAGTGAGTTATAGAACGACAATTTAATCGATCTCCTCTCTTTTCTTCCTGATCTCTTCCGA